ATGCCATCTTGTTAGATTGTTTTCTGGGGAGAAGGAAGATCATACTTTGTGCTGATTATCGCACTGAAAAGTAGTCTAAAAGATGGGTCAAAAAGAAGTGCAGCTACTGGCTGCGCTTTACTTCTTCATAGTACAGGATTCGTTTGCCGTATTTAGAAGGAATGTGCCGTGATAAAAAGATATGACTATACTTTCTTCGCGAACAATACTGGTTGCATGAGGGGGGGGGCACTGGCGCAATGAGTTACTAGGTTGCTCAGCAGGACCTTTTTGGGTATTTGTTAAAATCATCAACTTAAGCAGTTTACATAAGCAGAACGTCTTTAGGGGAGGGTCTGATGAACGCTGTATCCGCAGTTTTTAAACACGTTAGCTACAAAGCATTAGTTACTGTATCGCAAAAGAAAATATTCTTTTTCGAAAGCAGATCTGCCTCTACCTTGTTAATCAATGTTGTCTGCTGGCCTCCTGGTTGAGTCTACAATATTTCGGCTGCCAGACGAGAAAGTTACATGCTGGAGCATGTTTATGCCCAACCAATTTGTCTAACAGGAGCATACTCCATTCCATAATCTCCACATCTACCGGGATGACCCGTACACGGAAGATAATAGTGTCATTCTTTACGTGGGTCTGCCACTTTTGCCCTCATTAAGCGTCGAAGCCAAAGCTGATGCACGCAGTTCGTTGCTCTGGCCCTTTCGTCACAACAACTCTCCCCATTTCGTGCAACATCATTTATCTAACAGAAGCAAGGTACAGGCAGATTTTCGTGTGAAGAATGACTCCTTTCTCAGCCCAAATATTGCGCAGGCTCATTAAAGATTCACCTCCCTGTTCCACTTGTAGATCAGATGTGCCGGATAGCTTCCTCATAACTTCCGGGCGTCGAGAAAGAGGCCCGTTTTCTTGCATTTGGAAACCATCAAGTGACAGAGTCTGCTTCCCACACTACTCATCAGCACAACATCGTGTGCCCACTCCAGGTCAGCAAGATATCTACCCGGATATCTTGAAATGCGCCTTCTTTCTAGAATGAGACCTTCGTCTTTGCCAGAGTGAGAATTGCTTCAGAGAAAAAGTCTAGAAATTGTTGCACAGCAAAGATGAAAGCACATCTCCCTGGCGACTAAGGATGACCATAAAATATCTCTCTACCTCCTTCTGGTAGCCGATCATGCTGTTTGGGCAACATTTTAGCCTGCCAACGTCGAGCAACTTGCGTGTTTCAGTTACAGGGCATCCATACAACACGAATAACTTTAGACAGAGTTCTACTACGGCTACATGAAG